CACATATGTCTATCAAAGTCTGTCGAGAGTTTTTACAATGTGTCTGGTAATTTGTTAGTACGTATATGTGATTTAAAATTACTAGTTGAGATTATTATGGATGTGTTATGTGATTTTTTTTATAGGGGGCGGGGGAGAGGGTTATTAGGTGACACTGTTGGGGGAATAATACGAGAAGTGGAAGTGAGAGAGAAGACGATGGTGAGAGATAGTGAGAAATGTTTGTTTGCGGACGATCTGGGTTAGAGAGTGTAGTATAGTATAGTGCGTTTGTAAGAGAAGGTAATAAAAACGAAAGAGGAAAATTATGGTGTTTGAGAGGTAAGGAAGGAAGGAAGAAGAAGTTAGAGGTTGTTTATGAATGTTTGTTATTTAGGAACCAAATTTAACAAAGATGAACATGGATAAGCGGAGGAAGTTAGTAATACAGGAACTTGTGTTTGATTGTGAAAAACGCCACAGAAAAAAGAAACTCGTATAATCCCTCGTCGATTCTTCATTGACAATAGAACCCGAGATAAATATATATACTTTCAGATTTTCAAGACACAAGTGATAGTTATTATCAAGTTATCGTAGCTAGTGAGTGAAAGATGACTGACACAAAAAGGTAATGTTTGGTTAACAATTGGGAGCAGTAAATAATGACACGAGGATTATCACTGAAGCCATTCGATTTAGAGAGGGTTTTTGTAGCGGGTTTTTGCTGCTGCTGCTGCTGCTAGTAGTGAACACTGTGAGCCCAAACACAGCTTTGAAATGTGTGTGTGTGTGTGTGTGTGTGTGTGTGTGTGTGTGTGTGTCCTTTTCGTCTAGGTGTTGGTTATCGTCTGTTATCATCGGTGCTTCACTTTCTTCTCATATATTCTATCGTGCAGGACGGTGTTTTTGTACTACTTAATTCATAGGTTTTTGCTAGCAGCGGATCTCCCGTTACGATTAGGGTTTTCACCTCATATGAAGGCACCTCCGGATATATAAGTTAATTTACTTCGGATTTTGTACACAAGTAACTCAGTCCAATACCACCCTGGGGCTGATGCATTGAGTGATGCAGCCTCATGCATACATGTGTCTTTGCCCCAGTAAGTGTCCTATACACAAGCTGGACTTATCCTGCACATTACAGTATAGTAGATCAAACCTCTTGTATATCGAGGCCAAAAGATGTAATAACTAGAGTATCTAATATAAACTCTAAAAGGCGGGAGATAAAGCAATAGATTTTCTCTGAGCTCTGGCCTTGAATGTGACCTTAGAATAAGAAAAGAGAAGATGCTCACCAACAGACAGGAAGAGGAAGCAGGAAGTGGCGGCTGCCTCACTATTATGATGCGTGACTCCAGGCTCGATTTTGTCGATGAGGAATATAAAGTATTGAGCCGAACCTCCCCACAGACGGGAGCAATACCCCATGTGAGGAAGGTCATGGCTACTGCGAAGGTTCAGCGGTTAGGAGGAAGAAAAGTTGGACCGAGTAAGGTCTTGGCCCATAAATACTGTTGCGGAAAGAGAGTGCTATAAAGGGTGTCGCTGGGAAGGAACTGGGTTATTATCTGAAGAAAAAAATTGTGCCTGATTTTTTTTTAAGGGTTAAATGTTACAAGAACACTATTCCAACAGTGGTCAGTTACTAAAATATTAAAGCTGACAGTAGCAGTGAGTTTTGTCCGCTGTACAGGGAGATGCATGGGTGGTGACCTGATGAACAGAGAGATAAATAAATGATCTATTGCTGTAATGATGTGTGTGTCGCCCACGTACACTCGCTTATGGCTTATGTTTATTTAGAAAAGCCATTAGTGTATAAAATAAAAACAATAAGTACAAGAACACGATCCTAAAACAGGTTACGGTCAGTAGATTAATGGTGAGTGATGTATCAACCAATGTTTGAATGAATGTCTTAGTTGTGTAGAAAGATGCACAGTACATTAGATAAATACGAGGATCATCACACAAACCTGGCGAGAAGTTAGTCGACAGACTTACTTAGAAACCTCTGAGGTACGTGTGACAAGGAAAGATTCAGCAAAGTGATTTTGAGGAAGGGTTAAATCTGCGACGGCTGGAAGATCAGATGGAACCAGCGGGAAGGTCGGAGAGGAACCAGTTTTGTTAGCTTGTGTCGAAAGAAGCGTCCGGTAATAGTTTTCGAGGATGGTTTTGGTATATTTAGGAGAGTAATGGTTGAAGGACGGAGTTGAGGAGTTGACAGAGAAGTAATGAATGATAAGTCTGGGTCACAACTCATCATCTGGAGAGAAAACATACTCGTATTTTCTTTCAGTCCTGATGGTGACTAATAAATTTAATAGTGGGTACCAAAATTAGTTTCGAGGAAATTATTTCAATGGTTTAGTATTTGTTTAGATTTTTATTTTGTTTACATGCAACTGTCTTAGTATATTTAGTTAGAATAAGAAAGAAGTTGTATTAAAAAAAATTCGCCGAGGTTAAGTTTTATCGTTATTTCTATAGAGATGTTGTATAATCTCGTGGTTTTGATCAGATTTCAGTAAGATCGTTGGTATGATTCTGTCAGTGTTTTATAGAACGCTCTGGTTGGGTGACTCAAGCTCTGAATGTGTCGTGGCTTGTGTGTAACTTATTCACTTATTGATGCTTCTGCCATGGATGAACACAGCCATAAAGGAAATACAAACGTGTTAGAGAAGGCAACGTGGTGGATGAGCGAATACAGTTTGTTTTGGGCGTAATTGAAAGGTGAATGATAATATTCTAGAGACCTAATGAGCAGATCTTGTCAGCGTCCAGCCCAGGCAGCCCTGCTAGTATCAACTGATGGGGACTTACGGAAATAACGTAAAGGACACATTGCTAGAACTAGGAAGTGTGGAGAAGGTTTAAAAAACGAAAGAGAGAGATATATGTAAGAGCTCTGTTGAATAGTGAGATAAGTGTCAAGAATGCTTTCCTTGTACCCAGAACAGTTAAAAATGTGTGTTAATTCAGAGAAACTGTAGATCCCCGCCTTTACCAACTCAGGGTCAGGGTGAAGGAAATCCCTGGATCACTGAATGCAGTACTGTGTCATTTAAAATAATTGCTATAAGGAATTTTGGGGAGGAAAATCATTGTACAAAAGCCCCCCCACTTTGCTATTACAAAATTGTATAACTTACAGAAGTGAATTATACATTTTGGAACGCATGACAGCTTCACTTATATCAACCAGTTCATATCCTAAGACTGTAAAAGAGGATGTGAAGGAAACTACGACAAACGACATGAAATAGACTGAAAATGAGCGCGTGCAACAGGGGAATTATACTACTTGTGATTTTGCAATTGCTATTCTTTCATTGGTGTGGGGGATTATTCCGTTTTTGGTTATCTTGAATCCTAATATTTTTCCGTTGGCAGCATATGGTATTTGTTGGTTATTGACAATAATGGGGTAGGGATTTGTTTTTGCGATGTGAATTATTTTGAGTTTTGGGACATTGATTTGTATCTTCCATTTTCGTTCATAGTTAATTTATATACTAGGCTAACTGGCAACTCAGGCAAGACAAACGGGGAATACGCATATTAACACATACTTCATTTAAATCAGTTGCTGTACATTTGTCTATGAAAATCAGTGAGTCAGATCAATTTCTTACATCTACTGTTACAATCTAATCAGAGTTTGAGCTTGCCAGGCAATATTGAAGTGGACCTCAAATGCACAAGCTGACAACGTCTTTCTTACGACCTCATAAAAAATTTAGACAAGGGCCTACTGTGAGTCTGCCGTTAGATCTTGGAAATAAGAAGACGGACATTCTTTTCAGGATATTAATTTCTTTCTAAAATATACAACTGACAATAATTTCAATACAAACATCGATTCTCTCATGATTGTGAATTAAAATGGTCTAACTTCAGTATCATTTGGCAACTCATGGCATCCCTACGGACGGGTTCAGGGATTAGTCACTTCTACGGGCAGACTCAACACTCACTTATTTGACAAGTTTTACATCACTCACAAGAGATCTTGAATGTTTCATCTGTAATAAGACATATCTAATTTAATCTAACATGTACGACTTCAGTTGCAATTTAAAATTTCATAACATGATAATTATGAGATACTAAGGAATATCAGAGTCTCTGAGGCAAAAGATTGAGAGAAAACGGAGGTCTCAGTCGGTGAAGAAAATGGACGCCCCACAGGGTAACTCAATAAAGAAGTTACAGCTACATGTTTTATGGTCTATTGAGCGTAAAATGAATCGTCTGATTTTACGTTACAAACCCTAAATCACACCTTGGAAACCCATAGTTGACGAGTAATTAGCATTGAAAAATGTCAGTAAAATCTTTCAAGGGTCATTTTGGCCACTAATTACTCTGCAATCGAATCGTGGACCACATATTCATAATCAGCAAACTCAGGAGTACCCATACCAAAGGAGTCTGCTGAACTTTTAGGATCTAGGTTGAAATCAAAGAAGTTATTGACCATAGGGACATATTTTTTGTGGTATAGGCAAAGTGAACGAGAACTAGTTCATTTTTTTCAGAGGAAGGCTCCCTGGTTTATTATAATAATGTGTCTGCTTTAATTAACTATTTTGGCATTACCTATGCAGCTACTGAATGGAGGTTGTTCATTGATTTTTCAATATCAAGTCTCACGATTAATTTATAATGCTATTATGTATAAAACTTATCAATATAATTGGGGCTGTGCAAAGAAAACTAGGGAGCACTCGGTGCGAATCAAGCCCGGGATGACGTCATGGTTTGTAGTGGAGCGGCAGCTATCAACGTCCACCAGCAAGTGGCACCAATCCCAAGCTCGCGGTTAAAACTTCCGGCCGCATTGCCCGAATTTTGGACGTGGTTCAGCCGGCAGCATGTACAGTATAACAACTCCCGGCCAAGGTCGCTGACCCGACAGACGACCCGCGCCTTGCACACTAACGCTATCTGTTGACTCCGCGGCCAACTATATGCATGTGGCTTACAGGGTTTTGGTCTTACTTTCCTGTCTTTCTTATTATAGTCTTTGGCCTGTCATCATCCTTGTGTACATCGGGGGGTGAAGCTCCTTCCCTCCTCAGTCCTCAAGCTGTGCCCCCTGGTTAGGTTACGTTGGTTTTTTGTGATTTTTTGTCTTTTTTTACACAGAAAAAGGGATAAGTTAGGTTATATTTCTTTCGGTATTAGAAATATCATGGAACAAAAATGTCTGAGAGGTGTCTAAACCTGTGGTGTCAAACTGAAAACCTTTTGAGGGCCAATTCTTATTTTAGTTACCCTCTTCAGGGCCAACACAAGTGCTATGTCACATATTTGCAGGATTGAAGTTTACAGCTTCACACATTGCCTTACCTGGCTTACCAGGAATACCTCATATGAGTTTGTAAAATTCATTTTACTAAATAAACATGATTATATCTATTTCTATCATAATTTCACGGGATGATAAATTTTACCGTCATCCCGCTGGCCACACCTGACCATCCTAAGGGCCACATTTGGCCCACTGGCCATGAGTTTAACACCCCTGGTCTAAACATTCAGGAAAAACATATTTATAACACCGAGAGATAGAACGATGCACTAATATAAAAAGACCCCAAAGTGATGTCTCTGTGTGCTTTGTACATGAAGAAATTATTTATTTACCATAAATATTCCTCTGAAAAATCTGCCTTTGTCTGTGCATCTTGTCGTCTGCTCTGTTTGTTTACAACCGACCCTCAGTCCAAGCTTACTCTCATGTCCACAAAAAATTTTATATTACACCACAACACTTCAACACAGATGTCAAAATAAGTAGCTACTTTTTGTTTAATATGGCGGCAGAACCGAAGGGCAGAGCCCCTTGGCTAAGAAGTTAGGTAAGGTTAGATTGGTTTCTTTGGTTGGTTAGGTCAGGTTCTATTAGGTTCAAGTAAATGTTTCCTCTTCTAAGATACTTACTGTAATGATATGTAGTGTATATTTTGCTGTGACTGGCCAAGTTCCTACTAACGCTGTTTTACCGTAAGTGCGTTCTGATCGATTAGTCGTCCATTACCGGCGAACAACTTGAGATTGTATTTCTCCCACAAATAATAAGCATAATATTTGTGGATAGGGCATAAAAATTTTATTTTAATGTGTAAAGCAAAAAAGAAATATACACAGGAGAATGTATTACTGTATGAATAAATTATGTATTTTTATATACTGTACTGTACAGTACTGCAGTCACATCTCCCTTAAGTCTTCCTCTCTCCTTCATAGCATGCACCTCAGGAGTATTCTTTCTCTTTACTCAACTTTTATTTCTTATATGTACTCTCAGTATGTTCATAGAACCATAGCAAACCTTGATCAGACTTCCACATCTTCATTTTTCTTTATTTCTTATTCTCTCCGTACTCTTTATCTAGTATATCACAAATACAGTATGCACATATTTTTTATTTATTTATTTTATTTTTTTTTTTTTTCCTGTAATATACTTCTTCCTCATCATCCAGAATCCGAGCTTCTCACTTGCAGAGTACAGCTGGTTCAGCAATTTTTTTGTCTATGCAATACAGTAGGATTCATGCTGTCCTTTTTTCTTTCTTTTTTCAGAACATCAAAGTACTGAGTCTCTCACACCATGGGTACATTTGAAGACAAACAAGCAACTAACTGCTTCATCTGTTGCAAGAATCTTGAGATAAATGATGCAGCATCATACAGCAGCAATGATGTACTCACGTACACAAAGGTATGCGTGCGTGCATGTGTGTTTTAAGTAGAAAAGTATCCTGCATTTAGATAATTATTTCAATGCAATAACATAATACATCCATTTTAACCATGTTTATTCTCCTTGTGTTGCTTATGAGCCATAGGGTTTGTATTCCTTATTCACCTTACCACCACCCACGTCAGTACTCCCACACTACTCATCAACTACAGGGCTCTAGTACAGTACAGTGTTTGGAATGACTAGATGTTTGCACTTCTTGAACGTCATAAGACTCTACATGAATGAACTTGCATGATGTAGGAAGTTAATTAAAAGGTGTTATAAATGTATATACTCTATAAACTGTAGTAGTATACCCTGTATTTGTGTACATTCAGATAACTATATTCTTCTCAACTTTGGCAGATGACAGTTATAAATTGCATCAAAAAAGCCTTAAGGAGTTGCCAACTGAAACAACAGAATAAAGGCCAGTGGATACTGTTGCTGTGTTTGGAGTGTGACAAGATTATTAAAGATCTTGATCATTTTCACCACCAATACACCAAAACTCAAGAAAAGCTACAACTTGTGTATACTGAGGCCCACTCTCATTGCCATGTAGGTGGAAAGTTTTATCTTAAGAGGAAGTTAATTGTTAATATTTTCCAACAAAGGTACAAAAGGTCAATTTGATTATGGTGCATAGGACACTTTATGGTTCATACCCATTAGGAGGTGATTTGTGACTGTACACCCAAGTTTAACCCAATGATATCATACTGTATACTGTACTGGGACTATGAGTAGTTTGTGAATTTGTAATGCTTCCTTATTACAAGCAAATCCCAAAAGGGGTCTTTAGAAGTATTAATTCATAATTTAAAGTAGGAAACAAGTAGTCACATATGCCATGTCAGAAGGCACACAGTATGACCTTTGTCTGGCTCTGCTGCAATGGATGTCCAAGTCAAGTAATTCAGTTGCAATCTAGACTTCCTTGTCTGGCTGGTTCCTCAGTAACTGGATTTCCTTCACCCCAGTCAGAACACAGAGATAAATGCTTTGCCTCTTGTTTTCAGTAATAGTGAAATCTTAGGCAGGTCCATTCAGTTCTCTGTGTTTAGAAGCTTATATAAGGCTTTCATCTTTGTTGGCATGATACTGCAATTGTCTAAATGTATTAATAACGTAACTAGGGCTCAGCCAGTGTGTTGTTTTAGGGGAACTGACATCACCCACTCCAGTCAAGGAGAAATCTGATTTCCCCAGTTAGTAATGTAATCCATTTTTGTAAATGGTACCAATATCTCATACTGTATCTTAACTGGCATTACAGGAAGTGCTGTTTTAGAAGAGGATGGAGCGGGGGGGGGTATTTAGTGTTTATTACTCTGGGATTATAGAGGCTTGTACATTATATCTTCTTTTGTGGGTTGATTATGTACTAGTCTATGTTCTAATGTTTAACATGGTAAAACACTTCAAAGGACCTACTAACTGGCTGGGTCAGGTCAGAATTAATTACAACAGTAGGATTTCTAGAGTTTCATTAATCATTTTTTTCATTGAAGCATAATATACAATACAATTTATCTCGAGACTCAAATGCATTCACTTGCACATTCACAGTGAAATTTATTGCTTAGTATAAATTGTTTAACTTTCTAGTACTTGTACAGTATTTGTTTCAGAGTCTTCATAGCATGTTAAATATTACTACCATACAGGGTATTTTTACTTTCATTAAGTTATCTTATAGTACATGTATCCTAATTATCCTTCTCAACTGGGGTCTTGCCAAATAACAGTTGGAGTCTTATTCTCTCCACTTCCTAAACTCAAACTGGCTTTGTATAACATAGGTTGCCCAGGATGTTCATTATCATCAGACGATTGGTGACTCCTTGTGTCCACCATGTTGGAAAAGAAAAGTGTTCTGCATATGATAAATTTGCTTCATATGAATAAAATGCTCTTATATTAATTTCTTTCAGATTGAAGACAATTTTGAATTCTTAGAGGATGCAGAAAAGTCACACCAGGGTCAGTACAATGATGCAGAAACAAGATTCCTCCAAAAATTATCAGAGAGATGCAGTTCAAAAAGGATTATCAAGAGTAACCCTCGATATACTGAGATGCCTCAGTCCAGTACTTCTTATAATACTGTTACATGCTCACTCTGTGGTCAGGAGTATCTGACCAAGGCAGGTTTAAAGGCACATATGGAAGGAATCCATGCTAATAAGAAATTCAAAAAGGGTCGTGGTAGACCTCGAAAGTTTGAGAAGAATGAAAATTCTACTATATTCCCTGTCATCAAAGCAATGTCAAAGGATGAAATGGTTATGGTAGCTGAATGCAAAGATGCTCATGACATTTCTCTTTCAAAGGAAAAAGAATGTGGTACAGTTGATGGTGCACAGAAATGTTCTGTTGTTCCTGGCACTCACACCCCAGGGACTGAATCTTCTTCCTTTGGAATGGCCTGCCAGGTTCTGTCAAGTAATAATTATGGTACACATGTTGATAAAGCTGTAAAAGTAGAGCAGAAAGAGGTCTTAATGACTGGAGAAAATGAAAAAAAATATGGTAATTTAGAAGCTGATGAACTAATTCTAGGTGCTAATACAGAGGATTATTTGATCACTTCATCAGAGTGTGATAATTTGAAAATAACAGAGGGCTTAATAAAACAGTCATTTTCAAATGTTGAAAAAGAAAAGAAACTTCCAAGGTCCAGTGATGCAAGTAAAAAGTACATGTGTCGAGAGAAGTGCCCAAAGTGTGACAAAGTCGTCATTGGTCGCACAAAACTACGAAGGCATATGTTGATGCACTCGACGTCTTATGAGCAAAAGGTAGGTACAGGTCACTCTTGTATGTATTGTATTCTTTTTATTGTTATGCAAGATCCTCTCTGACTTTTGTGTTGTATTTGCTTACATTAACAGCTTGTCATAGTACAGTACTATATTCAGCAAACATGGCCTTGAACGAACTCATAGGGTTGACGAAGGGTGGGCGGAGTAAAGGTGAGATAAGGGGGGCTGTCCACTTCAACACTTCTGCCTGCTAAAGGACACCACAGTCACACCAGAGGTGGAAGGAGTGGAAGAATATCTGCTAGTGGGGAGAGTGGGACTGGAAGTTGACGATGCAGGAGTTGTCCATAGTTTGAAGAAAGACCAAGACCTTTCCTGATCTTCATAGGCCCTCTCCATGTTCATAAAGCTTTACTCCCTCCAGCTTTCTCTCAAGAAACACAGACTATCGCTTTTCTTTTCATTTTTTGGTGTAGTACAGGTAGCCAAATACTCAACAGAGTGCTTGGATACCTTGGAGAAGAGAATAATGAAAGGAGGGCACAAATACAGATGGATAAACAATAAGCCCTTCTTACATGATGAATGGCAAAATGAAAGACAGGCTGGGGGTTAGATGCAGGAGGGAGGGTAGCTTGTTATGGTCAGTCATAGCTATTTGAAATCACCTGGAGAAGCACAAGTTGATCAATGACTCCCAACATGGTTTCACAAGCGGGCATTCATGTCTAACTAATCTATTAACACTCTTTTCAGCTGTTTTCGAATAAGTGGACGATGGGCTCGGCTACGACGTGGTATATATTTCTTTAGCAAAGCCTTCGACAGAGTCCCTCACGAAAGACTAATAAGAAAAGTGGAGGTTCATGGCATTGGAGGAGATATTCTAAAATGGATTAGGGCGTGGTTACAGGACAGGAAACAGCGAGTGAGCATTAATGGCAGTAAATCCGATTGGAGTAACGTCATGAGTAGAGTTCCCAAGGACCATTATTATTTATTATATATATATAAACGACATAGATATCGGCGTAGACAGCAACATAAGTAAATTTGCTGCTGACACTAAAATAGGGCAAGTAATTAAATCTGAAGAGAACTCCACAAAACTACAGGAAGACCCAAACAAATTTTTCGAATGGTCTGAAAAATGGCAAATGAAATTCAATGTGGACAAATATAAAGTACTTAGTCTAGTAGATATAAACAGAGAAACCAAATACGAGATGAACAATGATGTTATAGAGAAATCCAACTGAAAGAAAGATTTAGGAGTAATGATAAGTTGGAATCTTAAACCAAGAAAACAATGTGTATTTGCTTGAAACAAGGCTAACAAAGTACTTGGGTTCATACAAAGGAGTGTAAGTTAAAACACTAGCGAGGTCATTCTAAAACTATATCTTGCGCTTGTGAAACCTCACTTGGATTACACAGTTCAATTCTGGTCACCGTGCTACAGAATGGATATTGAATCCCTAGAAAGAATTCAGAGGAGAATGACAAGACTAATCCTGGGCATTAGGAACCTTGAGTTCAGAGACAGGTTAAAGCATCTTAATTTGCACTCCCTTGAGAGACATAGAGTGAGGGGCGATATGATTGAGGTTTATAAATGGAAGTCGGGGCTAAACAAAGGGGACATTACAAAGGTACTCAAACTATCCAACCAGGAGTTAACTTGTAACAATGGTTTTAAATTAGACAAATTTAGATTTAGGCTCGAAACCAGTAAACACTGGTTTGGAAATAGAGTAGTGGATGAGTGAAACAAGTTTAAAAACATCATCAATGACTCAAATACGCTGGATAGCTTCAAACATACGGTAGGTTGGATGGATATATGAGCGATAGGGGTTGGGTGTAAATGGGACTTCCCAGTTTGGGCCAGTAGGCCCGGTGCAGTTTCCTCTATTCTTATGCTCTTATATTATGTTCTTATATGATTGAGAATACAGTACATATCTGCGCATCCCTCCAAGATGGCTGCCCCAGCTGACTCTCGGGATACGTGATTTGAATTTTTGTTGGGGCCAAATCTCGTGTAAGTGAGGGTGGCGTTCATAAAATAAGAAATAGGTGTTAAAATCGGGTTATTCATTTAAGCAAATTTTCGTGGGTTTATTCTTTTTATATTTATTTTATTGGCTCAAATTTTTTACTACATATGTGGCAATAAAATTCTGTTATTCAATACTTCTTTCCAAATATGGTTAATAGGTTGATACTCATAAACTGCATTATGTCTTTAATTAGAACCTCCAAGTTTTGGGCTCAACCACAAAATAGGATGCTCATAGATTTTTTTTTTTTATATGAATCTTTAGTGATCAAAATTTCATTAACTTTTCAGGTGTGTGAAGTGTGTGGGCGTGTGCTCCACAATACTACTGCATACAAGGTACACATGCAGTGTCTTCATGGTGTTTTACCTGAGACCTCAACTCCACAAATCTTTCAGTCAGAAATTGATAAGAAGAAAAGTTGCCAGATATGTGGAAAAACTTATCGTGGAGCATCAGGGCTTTCATATCACCTAGCAGCCAAACACAATAAAGGTGAGAAGGAACACCTATGTTTAAGATTAGATTTTTATAATAGTACAGTGGTCCCTCGGTTAACGAACACCTCGGTTAACGAAATTTCGGTTAACGAATTACCTTCCATAAGAATACAGTATTCAATTCGGTTAACGAATTCCTTACGCATTCCTCTCAACATGTTTTCACTTGCTCACCAGCTGGAATATTAGTCCGCCAATACAGTATTCTGTTCTAGGGCTTAAATTCGTTCCCATTTGAGTAAATATCAAAAAGGTTGTACTATTCAATAATTTTTATATTAAAATTTGTAGTCATTTTAACAATTATTTAACAAAATTGAAGTATACAGGAAACTAGTTTTTAGTGCGCCAAACAGCCACTCAACTCACCAAACAGGCGTCAGTTTGTGTGTCTGCTCAGTGGAGGTAACATCTTACTTGAGACTCTTGAACATAAACTATTTTTACATTTTTACAGTACAATTATTGGTCATTCTGAAATTTATTTTACATATTGACAATATATAGTGCAGTGCAATGTTGATTTAAAGAAAATAATCTTGAATTACACCAAGTGAACTTAAAATTTTATGGGTGAAATGACGGCATGAAGCATGGGGTGATGTCTCTTACACCCCCACTTCCTTCTCTTCTCCCTTCTCCTCCACCCCCACTTCTAATTCCCATCATCATCAACCAGGAGCCTTCTACATACACACCTCAAAGTAAGTGTACTTTACTGCATTTATTTTTACTTTGTATGTAATTTTCGGTGAGCTGGAACCAATTACCCAAAATCCCATTGAAACAATGGTTTTGGTTTACGAAATTTTCGGTTAACGAATGATCTTCTGGAACGAATTGTGTTTGTTAACCGAGGGACCACTGTATTTGCACATTTCAGGTCGCGTAAGTACTGTACAGTCAGTAGTTTAATGAGGGAAAAGGAAGGCCAAGTGTCTTTTGAACCATTTAATATCAATCAACTATTATCCAAGACCAGACAGATAAATTATAAGAATTGTAATAAATTTAGGCATGAAAGGGATTGTGCCTTAATCTTTTATTAACTTGAACTCTATTGATGACTCATATACAAAAAACCAGTACCTGTGTAGATAGAGACGGACCTCACAATATAGAACTTGCTCTGCCCACCACTTGAGGATGCCAGTCATGTACAGTTTGTTTGTTTGGTCGCTGTAAACTGAGGCTCCTCTGGACAAACATCTATGATTCATTTGCACTTAATGCTTCTCACTGTTGTCTTGTGTTGAACCAAATTAAGTCATGATAGCAGATGGACAGAATTCGTCTTGTGATACTGCATGCAAAAATTGTCTTTGAAATGGATCGGAACACAGCGGTAGCTAGATGATTTGCCAGTGAGGATTTGGGGATTAATTGACGTGATTTGTTGATGGTGTGCACATGACCAACAGTAGTCTCAAGCACTCAGAAGTGAAAGTGAGAAACAGTATCATGTGGATATACTGATTCAAGTTCACCAGCTGACTGACTGTCTCAGCTACTCTGCTGCATGATTTTGTGATATGGAAACTGCATTTACATGGAGAGACCTTCAAGAAGAAAAAGACTTTTTTTTCTTTCATCATGTTAGTGCAAATCATGGGTATATTATAAAAATTATTTTATTAATATTAGTACAGGTTGTACCTCTCTAGTCTGGCATTCTGTGGTCCGGAAACTCCCGTGGTCCGGATCAATTTTAGTTTGCCCATGGAGAAAATTAATTTGAGTATGGTACTTTCGATGTTTGGCTAAATTTTGCCTTATTTACCCTACTTTTTTGGGGAAGTACTACCTCTAATAAAGCAACATCCTAATAAAGCAACAAAAATAACACATAAAGTTGAATAAAAACTAAAAACAACACAGAAAAGTTCTTATGTTCTACAGCTTCAGCTAGAGTTGAACATACGTCATCCTAGTAAAAACACACACAACAACATTGGCTGTCCTTATGTTTTCAACTTACCACCACTGGTGGGTAGAATTTTTTTTTTATTCAGAAACATTAATTAAAATATATATGAACAGTAAATAAGTGCTGCTTTCATATTCTTATGTAGAGTGTTGACGATATGTTTTCACGTGTGCGCACTTATATATATATGCGATCTCTCTTTTTTCTTTACCATTATGGTTAGCTACTTATATTGTTCCATTTATTAACATTAAATAACATTACTTCAAACAACCATATTAATTTTTTACACTAATTTTACAACAGCTACAACCAGTATCTTATTTTCTTCAGTTTTATATGAAGAACCAGTCAGTCACTGGTTTTGTAATCAACGAAAACAATGACGTCTCGTCTCTTCGTGTGTTTTAATATTCTATGTATTATTAATGAATTGTATTGTTCATTTTGCACACATAAAAATTAATTAAATCAAAAAGACATTCAGTAATAGACAATAATGAATCTTTTGTACATAAGAGAAATGACGCTGTTTACATGATTTGTGTACGTCTGAACCTTGGCGGGCTGCTCAAACCCGTCGAAATTTGAGTTTCCGTCTTCAAAATTTTAAATTGCGTGGTGGTTTTTTTGTGTGTCCAAATAAAAATCCTTGAATTAAAAACTCCCAAAATTTGAGAACCTACTGTACAACATTTAACCCTTCAATAAGTCTTCAAAGAGACCACGAAGCAGTGAAAGTAGCGCTAGTGCTTCCAAGCGTAAGCACAAGTCACTATCTATCCAGGAAAAGGGTGAATTTCCATGGTCCTGAAATTTCCATGGTCCAGCACCGGTCAGGTCCCGAGGATGCCGTACTAGAGAGGTACAACCTGTAATAATACTGTATAATATAATAGTGATTATATTAATATTAATAATAATACTGTATAATAATGATTATATTAATGTTAATAATAATAAAGGACCATAAATAAATACTATTAAAAAAATGAAAAAAGATCAGTAGTGAGAAATGATATACCGTATATACAGTGACCCCCTCGTTTAACGAACACCTCGGTTAACGAACTGCCTTCCATAAGGATCTTCAATTCGGTTAACGAAAAAAAATTCGGTTAATGAAGTTCTTACAAACCGACCTCAACATGTTTTCGCTTGCACTGACCGGGCAACCAGCTTTAGTATCAGTCCGCCAATACATTAATCGGTTCTAGGGCTTAAATTCCTTACTATTTTAGTAAATATCAAGAAGTTTATACTATTCAATAATTTTAAAAGTTTAATATTCAATTTTTTAGTCATTTTAACAATTATTGAACATAATTGAAGGTAAAGTGACTAGTTTAATGCGCGGCATCCAGCCTCTTAACACAGCAAACAGGAGTTAGTCTCTCTCTGTTTTCACTGGAGGTAACATCTTGCTTGAGACTCTCTTCAACTAAACGCTTTTTTCTGTGTTTCCAAGCAAATTATTGGTCATTTTGAAATATATTTTACATATTGACAATATATAATGCAGTGCCGTGTTGATATAAAGAAAATAATCTTGAAATACACCAAGAGAACTAAAATTTTATGGATGAAATGGTGCCATGGGGTGACTTCTCTTCCACCCCAATGCCTTCTCTTCTCCCTTCTCCTCCACCCCCATTCTAATTCCCATCATCATCATCATCATCATCCAGGAGCCTTCTACATACACACCTCAAAGTAAGTGAACTTTTCTACCATTTTTGTTGAATTTAGGAAATTTTCGGTGAGCTGGAACCAATTACCCAAAACCCATTGAAACAATGGTTTCGGTTAACGAACGACCTTCTGGAACGGATTGAGTTCGTTATTGGAGGGGTCACTGTACTCGTCTATAACCCCCCCCTCGTTTATAGTTCGACCCACGTTTTTGAGGGTAATGGAACAACAAAACCTTCACTAAAAACGCTCTACGTCCTATAAACTGAGGCTCACCGTGCATGAAACACTAGTGCCAAAGGCAAATTGTTTACCATTTATTATTACGACACTACACTGAAACGCGGGTAGTTTCAACAAAAATATTGTATATTTCCATTCAAGTATTTATTCAAGTCGATTAGGAGGGAATATTATTGTAATACAACAGTTTTTAACTAAACCATTCGAAAAGCGATTACGGTAACATCTTTTGAACGAAAGAAAGCGAAAGTCATTGTTTTCGTCACGATTTTACCCACTTTCCACTGTAATACGTATGTAATTTCAGCAAAAATATTACATTTCCGTGAATGTATTATATCAAGCACAGTATGAATAAAATATCATTGTAATATAACAGAATTTTAACCGAAAATACTTAAAAAAACGAGTAACATCTCATGAACAGAAGCTTAGGTAAAGTCTTTTGTTTTCGTCATGTATTTTATCCTATTTTACATTGAAATACATCACGTTTCAGCAAAACTACTATTTATTTCCGAGAATATATTCATTCAGGCACAGTTTAGGTAAAATATACGTGTGATGTAATAGTTTTTTAACTGAAAATGATTCGAAAAACACGTACCCTCTAGCCCTGTTCAAGGAGAGGACTGGGAGAAGCTGTTTGGTGCTGCAGACAATGACACGGAAAATGATTTTGATGGATTTTAATGAAAATATTCAGAAATATGGTATCGTAGTATTTATTCAAGTCAATTAGGATAGAATATTATCGTAATACAACAGTTTTTTAACTAAACCATTCGAAAAGCGATTACGGTAACATCTTTTGAACGAAAGAAAGCGAAAGTCATTGTTTTTGTCACGATTGCATCCCACTTTCCACTGTAATACGTACGTCATTTCTGCAAAAATATTACATTTCCGTGAATGCATTATATCAAGCACAGTATGAATAGAATACCATTGTAATATAACAATATTTTAACCAAAAACTATTAAAAAAACGAGTAACTTCTCTTGAACATCGGAAGGTTAGGTAAAATCTTTTGTTTTCGTCATGTATTTTATCCTATTTTACATTAAAATACATCACGTTTCAGCAAAACTACTATTTATTTCCGAGAATATATTCATTCAGGCACAGTTAAGGTAAAATATACATGTGATGTAACAGTTTTTTAACTGAAAACGATTCGAAAAACACGTGTACCGTCTAGCTGATACAGCTGGTGGTGCGTCATGCATCATGCGTCGTTGTAAACAATAGGAGGTTGAAGTAGATTACTGGGTATTATATTAAGTGTGAAATATCGAAAAGGTTTTTAATACCGGTATGTTTTGTAGATCAATGAGAACTGTGATACTGTATATGATATGATAAGTTAGCCTGTGCTAAGAACTTCAACATAGACTACTGAAAGCACGTTGTAAGGTAATTTAGCCTATTGTAAGTTGGTGAGCTTCATTTACTGAAGGAACTGCACAACTTTTCATTACTAATTGGTACATATTTTACGTTTCCATTGTTTACTGGCAGTAAATGGTAAATATTTTTCATGTCTGAATCTAAAAGTTGCTCCTCGCCCTTCCCATCATGCACGGGTTCAACCTAACAAAACTATTACGCATGTATAGGACGACCCCCAATTTTTTGCCTAAAAATTTGGTCTTAAAAACTCGAACTATACACGAGTATATACAGTATGTATGTTGTGTTGTCAAAGTAAGAGAAACAATTGAGACCCTGCAATTGTGTAAATGATACAGAAAGTCAGATCAGCAACCTGGGACTTCATCACAATTTTTGTGATGCCATATGGCAGCAGGGTCTACCATTAGACAACACATAATGCTTCCAATATCTTCCCAGGCGGTAGTACCTCCCTGTTTGGTAGCTGCCTACTACCTACTCCTCTTAAATGATGTTAATGATGATGTTAATCCTTTTGGTTTGGGTTTTGCCATCCAGATGAAGTTATGGGAGAGCTCAAAAGGGAAAGTATTGTAAAATTTTTAAAAGAATTCAAGAATTTGGTACAGTAGTCAAATTAACTTTATTCTTCTCACAGGACCTCGCTACCCATGTGACAAGTGTCCCCGGGTGTTTCCCCACAGTCGGAATCTTTCATCTCATAAGGCACAAGTAAGTTTGTTAATTGAAATTGCTTTTTAGTACAGCATGCCCTTCAAATTCGCGGGGGTTAGGTTCTCAAAATGGCCGCGAATAGCCTGTGGATAGCAATCCTAATCCCACCTGTCTCCCTGGGATTTCCTTTGAGGATGGCTGAAGTGAAGGTTGAAATTGCAAACCTTATTATAGGTGCAATCACTCTGGTAAAAAGATTGAGTTGTAATGTATAGTGTCATGTTTTGTAACATTCTTATGGCTTCAGAAAACTGACCTCTTAATATCTTGATTTGAGTTAAGTGTCACTAGGTAATGAGTGATCTGGGAAAACCTCAAAAAGCCAAAGTGGTCATATTCAAGAGTTGATGTTCACTGGTTCTAATATAAATTGGGTTTTTAGGATTAAACTTACTTATCATTCTCAAGCATGTGTTTAGCCAGTTTGCTACTTTTAGCTGGTGTTCATTTAAAAAAAAAAAAGTTAATTTCATTATATTCCAGGCTCATGGAAGTTACTCAATGATTTGTGAGTATTGTGGTCAGACATTTAAGCTTCAAACTCAATTAAATTCCCACATAAACTCCATTCATCGAGGAGTTACATCTTGGGCGTGCAAACTCTGCCCTTCCAAATTCGCCACCCATATTGAATATAGGTAAGGTAAAAGTTAATATTTATTGAATGGGTGGAACATATTGTTACTGTTAATTGAATTATATGTCATGTTTCCAAATTAAAGCTAGTACCTGTACAGATTGTACTTCTCTAGTCCGGCTACCTCGGGACCTGACCGATGCCGGACCATGGAAATTCACCATTTTCCTGGATAGATAGTGACTTGTGCTTACACTTGGAAGCACTAGCACCACTTTCACTGCTTCGTGGTCTCTTAGAAGACTTATTGAAAGGTTAAATGTTGTCCAGTAGGTTCTCAAATTTCGCGACTTTTTAATTCGGCATTTTTTATTTGGACAAAAAAAACACTACACAATTTAAAATTTTGATGGCGGGAACTTGAATTTCGACAGGTTTGAGCGGCCCGCCAACGTTCAGACGTACACAAATCGTGTAAACAGCATCATTTCTCTTATGTACAAAAGATTCATTATTATTTATTACTGAATGTCTTTTTGATTGAATTAATGTTTATGTGTGCAAAATGAACAATACAATTCATTAATAATACGTAGAATATTAAAACACACGAGGAAATGAGACGTCATTGTTTTCGTTGATTACAAAACCAGTGACTGATTGGTTCTACATATAAAACTGAAGAAAATAAGACCCTGGTTATAGCTGTAGTAAAATTAATGTAAAAAAATTAATATGGTTGCTTTAAGTAATGTTATTTAATGTTAATAAATGGAACAATGTAAATAACATTGATTATGTGTTAAAGGAATATCCTTCCTTCCTTAGGCTTTAGTAAGCCCCTTTATAATATTTATACTGTATATACTTGTCACACTTGCCAGATGCTTCTGGTGTCATTGTACAGGGGTACCTAGTGACAGCACCAGGATCCCGCTTCCTCTATCAAGGAATAAACAATTGAATGGAACAATATAAGTAGCTAACCATTAATGGTAAAGAAAAAAAGTGAGATCACGTATGTAAGTGCGCACACGTGAAAACATATCGTCAACACTCCACACTCATTTACTGTTCATATATATATTTTAATTAATGTTTCTGAATATAAAACAAAAATTCTACCCACCAGTGGTGGTAAAGTTGAAAACATAAGGACAGCCAATGTGTGTGTTTTTACCTGGATGACTAAGTTGCCAAGTCATCAGGTTCAACTCCAGCTGAAGCTGTAGAACATAAGAACTTTTCCTGTGTTGCTTTTAGTTTTTATTTAACTTTATCTGTGTTATTTTTGTTGGTTTATTAGGATGTTGCTATATTGCAGGTAGTAATTCGCCAAAAAAGAAGGGTAAATAAGGCAAAATTTAGCCAAACATTGAAAGTACCACTCAAATTAATTTTCTCCATGGGCAAACTAAAATCGTTACGGACCACAGAATGCTGGACTAGACAGGTACAACCTGTAGCAATGACTTACAGCCATGCTGCTGTTGTCTACAAAGTCTCACATTGGTTTCTTTTGGATTATGGCTGAAAATTTTTTGCTTTATTTTAAGATTTGTTAAGATCACCGATATAATTAATGTTCCTTTTTATCCACAGGATACATGTTAATAAGCACAAGAGGTTAACATATGAATGTGACATATGTGGAAAGCAATATTCTTGGCGAGAGGCACTGAAGAAGCACAAGCGTACAAAGCATGAATATTATATGTCTTCCATGTCATTTGATTGCTCTACTGTTACATCTTCAACACAGTCTGTCAATACTTCCCTGTGTGCCGAAGACAGACACGACATACCAGAGCTTCCAAAAGTAGATACTGAAGTATCAGTGGAGAAGATAGCAGTAGGATCAGTCTTACCATCAGGGGCATCTCCAGCAATCTCTCAAAATGAAAACCATAGTTTGCATGTTGACACTGATATGGCACCAGTCATCTTAGGAGCTAAACTAAAAGTTACTCAGAAGGGGATGGCCAGTGGGTCTGTCATGGCCTCGGTTGTATCCAGTGCTAACTCAGAAATTGTTGAAAAACAAATTAACTTTAACAGTCCTGCCCCTTCTTTAGTTTCAAGCACTAGATGTAAGTTACCTGAGAAATTAATAAATTCTAATCCTGTTATTCCATTGATATCAGAAACTCATTGTGAAAGTGATTATGACAGAGTAATTGATACCAAGGGTTTACCTCTGGTGATATCTGGCAAAGAGAATAATATTGAAGGGGTACTGCCGATGAATCCAGATATATCAGATGCAACTGGCAGATCAAGTGATGCAGTATTTACAGGTGCAGAGCCTCAGGACATTACAGGTGGTCATGTAGAAGAAGTAGTTATTGTGGAGACTGATGCTAGTGTAAATTATGACTACATTGTCTATCATGTATCTAGTTGATGTTATTATTAAAAGTAATTTGTAGCATAAAAGTTAGTTTTTTTGTGATCTATGGTGCATCACTAAGTGACCTGTGTGATCCAAACCTCTGAAAACCCACCAGTATAGTATACCTGTTGCTGGAGAGCTTAATATATTTATATATATATATATATATATATATATATATATATATATATATATATATATATATATATATATATATATATATATATATATATATATATATATATATATATATATATATATATATATTTATATATATTCTTCCTTAAATTTGAATTTTAGAAGTACTGCCTGAGAATCCAGAAAATCCGGACCGACCCAATCCCCAAGCAGTCCGGATTTTTGGACTTATCAGCTGGGTGACCTGGCTGGCTGGCAAGGTGACGGAGCATCTTTAGGGTTTCCCGCGCATCTAAACTTCACCTCAGACAGCTCCAGTCAACAGAATGCACGGGTAAGTGTTGTGCTGCTAGTCTCAGTTCATTCCCATGGCTACTCGCTCACCAGTAATATTTCATGAAAAAATATAATTAAATGATATCTTGATTGGAAAATAAAAAGAGTATGTATTTTTGCTGTACAAGGGAAGATTTGGGGCATTTGTTGAGAAAGATCTGAAGCTTTTGTTGGCTGTTTAAATTTGTCTCTTAAGCAGTTTTATTGTGCAGCCTCCACATAGTCTTCAGCTAGTGTGTGTATGCCATCTTTGTGTTCACTTCTTTTGGCCTGACTGTTATTCAATCTTGCAAGAACAATTGGCACAGAGAACCAACCTGCATCGTCCCAGTAAATAATCACATTACTATCCATTTGGACATTCACCTTTTAAATAATTGAACTTCTTAAGGTTAAAATGAACTCTTATCATGATTATGTATGTGATTAACATACAAATGCACAGCTTGACCATTTTAGTGCTTGCTTTGATTATTCATCTTCCATTGCCGGATGATAAATCAGTTTTGTTGATTCAGATTTCACTTGTATAGTTTAAACCTCTGATATACTGTGGTAGATCCTGTTACCCGAGTTCAACATCAAGTGCTTGTCATGTATTGGTACAGTACAAGATTTTGCTGGTAGAAGTGATTGTTTATCCCAAGAAGAAAACATTGATACCCAAGGTGGAGCCCTAACTAGAGATACCTGGTAGTTAATGTCTCCAGGTTGTGGATAGTTTTACTCCCACTATTGAACACCAGATCAGATAATTATCTTCTACCTTTTGTATCAAATGCTAGATTGAATCTGTACCTTAACAAGTTAACATAGTCAGCATCATGGGTTTTATATAATATAATTGAATCTTGTATAACTGTAATTGGATATTCACTCACTTGACAAATGTTTTAGGATTCAGAAAAATATTTTGAATGTAGCCATACTCTCTCCATGTGATTATCACAAGATTATTAATCATGAAATGTTTACTGGCAGTGATAGTGGTTCATGGCACAGATGTTGCCTCACCAGTCAGGACACAAGAGACCAGACATATCAGTAGAGTTAAATATTGATACTTTATTCTCGTGTGGCTAAACATTGCTGCACCATATAAAATTTTGTTATATACGCACAATGGCAAAGTTGGTGCCGGTCACTGGGCACGTCACAAGTCACTGCTTATCAAGGTTGCGTTTTGGGACTGGGATGTTTGGGGACCTCCATGGAAGTTGGTTTTAAGACTTAACTGAAGGAAGAAGCACAAGGGTAAGTGATTACTTGATATGTGAGTTGTCTGGCTTCTTGTGGCAAGACAAGTTTAAATACTTATAACTAATTTAAAAATATTAAAGACATATTTGTCTATCTTACTTGGTGAGGTTTCATCTTAAAGAGATCAATAATCATACAGTAGTACATATAATTCAGTTTAGCAGCTCCCTTTATGATTATCTTGTATAAAATTTCCAATACTGAGACAAACTAGTTAATCTCTTGGAAGTTCTAAACAGTTGGGTGTAAATGGGACTGCCCATTATGGGTCAATAGGCCTGCTGCAGTTTCCTTCATTCTTTATATATATATATATATATATATATATATATATATATATATATATATATATATATATATATATATATATATATATATATATATATATATATATATATATATATATATATATATATATATTCTTACCTAGCCGGGGGGCTACCCCCCCCCCCCTTCTGATTACCCGAATGACCGAAATAACAATAATACCCAACAGATTTTTAATCATCATGCACTGAAACAAAAAGGGGTCTCATTACCTCGAAATCTCTTATTCCCCGAAGAGCTCTGCACCAATTATTCCTGTTAATGGGACTATCACTGTACTACTGTACAGTATTACCCCGCCTAACGCGGTTTCACTTAGCGCGTTTTCGCATATACGCGGTGCCTTGCCAGAGCTGAACTTTCACTTAACACGGATTTTTTCCACATATACGCGGTGAGTGTCCGGCTCGAGATGCTATTTTTAGATTTTGCCCACGCGCCACCCGCCCGCCTGCCTGCCTGTGCTCCTCGCCTCTCCCTCCTCCTCCCTCCGCTTGGGCAAGCCGCGCGGTAAGGTTGCGCAGTGTGTCTTTGTTGCGTTATCACTGACGTCATATGACGTATCGGACTGTGATTGGCCATGCATCCCTACCCCCCTCTGCTGCTAGCTGTAATTGGCTTAAAGTATTATGACGTGACCACCCCGGGGAGGGAGGGAGGGAGGAGAGACGACGCTTGACCTAGCCGCGGCAGTTTCATCCCTCAAGGCCACCCCGTGTTAACGCGCATCCATTGTTCCGTAAAATGGCTTCCGCCGGACCACCATCGCCCCCAGAGAGAGACCTTTCCTTACCTGGACCCAGCGGCACTAAGCCAAAGAAGACACGACGTTCATTAAGCTACGAGGTGAAGTACCAAATTGTTCAAGATTTGGAGAAAGGAAGACGGCAAGTTGATCTCGCGCGCCAGCATGGCGTCAACGAATCTACGATTCGTACGATCAAGAAGGATGCAGCCAAGATCAAAGAGCACATGAAAATCACAAAGTCTGCAGGTGCTTCATCTATCAGGTATTGCCAGAACAGGGTGCTGGCAAAAGTGGAAAATTTGCTGGTGAGTTATTTGGTGCGTCAGGCGCGACGCAACATGGCGGTGGACACGCGCTCAGTGCAGGAGTACGCACGTGAGCTATACGCAGCAGTGTCACGTAAACTGGGAATTGCAGAGCCCAAACCCTTCAATGCTTCCTCTGGTTGGCTGCATAGGTTTAAGAAGAGGAACAAGATCACCAACATCAACATTGGTGGTGAGGAAGCGAGTGCTGACCGTGTGGCGGCTAGAGATTTTCCTCCGTTTTTACGTGAGATTATGGAGGAAGGACAGTACAGTGACGACCAGGTGTTTAACATGGACGAATCTGGTCTTTTCTGGAAAAAGTTACCTTCCAAGACCTTCGTTGTCCAGTCTGCCAGCAAGGTAAGGGGTCGGAAGTTGCAGAAGGAACGCATCACCGTCCTGTTTACCACCAATGCCTCCGGTACCTGTAAACCAAAGTTATCGGTGATTCACAAAGCCCGCAAGCCGCACGCCTACAAGAATATGGACATGAACAAGCTTAATGTCCACTGGCTAACCGCACGTAAGGCGTGGATGTCCTCTTCTCTGTCCCTCTTCTGGTTTGACAACTGTTTTGTTCCTGACGTGCAGAAATTCTGCGAGCAACAGAATGTTCCATTCAATATTTTGTTGCTCCTTGACAACGCACCTGGACACTCGCCCCTACTTATGGATCGTCACCCCAACGTAAAAGTGGTCTTCCTTCCTCCCAACACTACGTCATTAATCCAGCCCATGGACCAGGAGTTGATCTGCAATGTGAAAGCTGCGTACTCTGCAAAGAAGTTCAAGCTCCTGAACGACTCTACCAACACCAAGGATGAGTTGCGTAAGCTGGGTGACACCGACAGCGAGAGCAAAAGCGACGAGGACAAGGAACAAGAGGCGGCGACTCAAGAACTTCTCGTCAAACAATTTTGGAAGAAGTTTAACGTTAAACAAGCTGTAGACTTCTTGGTGGAGGCATGGGATCTGCTGACTATTGCTACGATTCGTCACGCATGGAGACATGTGTTGCATGGCATACCAGGTGAGAGGAGGAGTGAACCTGTGACTGGTGAGGTTCAGACTGTTGCAGTAGCAGTGGACCTTGCCAGAGAAACTGCGCTCAATATTACAGCTGAAGGCTTCTCCGAGACCACCAACAAAGACATCCTGGAGGTGATCAAAGATCCTGAAGTGACTGCCGACGGGATGTTGGAAGAAGAACACGCCAGTGAAGAGGAGGAAGAAGGTGCGTCATTCTCCGAAGAACCTAGTTTAAGTCATAGTGATATTAAGTGTGCCATAGAGTTTACAGAAAAAATTAAGTCCGTCCTTTCCCGCGACAATGACGATGAACGCTATGAAGTCTTCCATACCCGACTGGTGCAGGCTATGGAGCCGTACATCAAGGTGTATCACGACAACATCAACACCAGCCGTCAGCAAAGCATAACCGAGTTCTTCGCCCGCAACCCACCACAGCCAGCCCAAGCCAGTGATAGTGAAAGTGAAGTTGACTTTGAGGGATTTGTCAGGGAAGCCCTGACAACTGTAAGTGACAGTGATGTTGATTCACCTAGTAATGGTGATTCACCTGAGGGCCAGTAATCTGCCCTCTGCCTCGGAACCAGCCTCCATCCCCGTATGCCGACCCATCTCTTCTACTACCGTAAGTGTTCCACAAAATTTTTCGTTTTTTAACCTATTCTTTATTTTTCCTATGTTAACCTTTATCTTTCCTAACCTAACCTCTTCTATATTACTTGTTTTTTCATACCATCATAAAGTTAAGATAGAATTTTTACTACAACATAGTTATGTGTCGTCAAAAAGTGGAGTTTGGGGGTCGGGCTGGGTTCTATTGGAATTAATCCCATATGTTCTGTTGTTCACTTAACGCGGATTTCACTTAACGCGGGACCGTCTGGGTTCAATTGACCGC